AGCCACCTCCTCTACATGGATGACATCAAGCTGTATGCCAGGAGTGAACGAGACAACGACTCACTCATCCACACCACTAGAATCTACAGCCAGGACATCGGAATGTCATTTGGGCTGGACAAGTGTAGTCGAATGGTAACAAGGAGAGGGAAGGTAGTCAGAACTGAGGGGATTGTGTCATGATCCTGCCCCGTCCGCTTCTGGGGTCCTGCTTTTATTTTGATACCCCTTCCTGTCACCGGCTCATCCAAAACCCTGGTAACGTCATCTCATCATGTACATTGGTTTCACTGGCCACTAATCACCCACACCTGTTCACCACAGCATATAGCAGCTCCTCACATTGTGAGGAGTTGCCAGATTGTTCTATGCCTTGTCTAGACTCTCCAGCATTTTCCTCTGACTGCTTTCCTGGTACCGAACTCTTGCCTCCTCACGTTGTGAGGAGTTGCCAGATTGTTCTATGCCTTGTCTAGACTCTCCAGCATTTTCCTCTGACTGCTTTCCTGGTACCGAACTCTTGCCTGCTATAACGACCTGTGATCTAGCCTGTCTGACTGCCAACCTGAGATCGACACCCTGCCTGTTCAACTAACCTGTGATTCTGCCTTGCCTGCCCTGCCGGAGACTTCGGCCTTGGACTGTATTAAGTACTACTCTTCTGCCTGATCCCCCAAGACTGTGTGTGTTTCTGCTGAAGTCAGAAAAGGACATTAAAGTCTGTTCTACTGCCTCAGCTGACGGGCTCTTTAATTGGGTTCACTCCTCCATCTTCACGGGAGCGTCACTCACCTCCCTGACACTCTACCAGTGGTCCCCAACCCCTGGGCCGTGGACCGGTACCGGTCCGTGGATCAATTGGTACCGGGCCGCACAAGAAATCATTAATTATTTCCGTTTTATTTATTATCTGAGTCTGAACGATCTTTTATTTTGAAAAATGACCGCATTCTCTCGGTTACATCTCGGTCACTTGAGCGCCAAAACTGGCTTACTTGTGGACATATTCAGCCTGCTCAATGAACTCAATCTGTCACTTCAGGGGAAAATGACAACTGTCTTCAAGTTGGCAGATAAAGTAGCTGCATTTAAAGCCAAACTGGATTTGTGGGGACGGCGCGTCAACAGAGGCATTTTGGACATGTTTCAAACATTAGCGGGGATTTGGGGTGA